AGAGTTACGTATGGGCACCCCAGTGGCCAGGAGAAATACAGTTTGTTGGATTCAACATTGAGAAAGTGAGGTTCTCAACGTGGATAACATCTGACAAAGAAAGAGTATTCAAAAGGTGTTTATCAAATCTCCTTATCCCTGATAGAGGCCATCTCTCAAGGCCCTGGTCCAATATAGCCTCTCCTGTGGGTCCTGTCCCATCTCTTGCCTGCCTCCATTAGCCTTTCCACTCTGTGCTTTGGAGTTACATGCCTTCTTCCCTTCTGCTCAGTGTTCTGGATATTTGGGTCTCACTTCCCTGCTTACCACCCTGATTTCTGCCTTTAATAAGTTTTGTGACTCTACAGTGGGCTGCCATGGTTTCTTTCTTTTTTTTTTTTTTTGCCATGGTTTCTTATGGGCTCTTTTTAAAATTGTTTTCAGAGGCCAAGGTACAGCCTTGGAGTCTCCCCTGGGACAAAGAAGCCTCAAAAATAGAAGAATTACATTTTCAGAAATAGCCAAAGTCACCGTATTAAAGTTCCCCAGAGAAACAGAGCTAACGGTGTACTGCTCAGCACATATTTCACTCTGACTCCATTTCCTATCCTTGACTTCCCAAACTTTCTCCTTACTGTGCTTTCTGGATTCAAGATCTGTCATCAGAAAAAAAAAAAAAATCAAGTTTGAAAATCACTAATATAAGTCACAGAAGTAAGTCAACCGCTTACTGACAGCAGGCTAAACATTAGGCTATGATCAACGACTATGAATATGACTTAAGGCTAAGTGACTTTTTGATGTCCCTCATAGAGGAACAGTTCAGGCTCCCCAGGCAGGCTCAGTTGGAAGCAGCTGCAGTTAAGTGCCTCCAGCTGCAGGGCTTTGAGGGACTCATATCAGGGAGCCCTGCTGGTCATCACAAAGCAGAATGGAAATAGATTCCAAGGAGGAGGCAAAAAGAGCTCCCCTCTTATAGGGCCTAAGGCTGAGAGAGCCCCTCTTAACCACTTACTGCACGTCAGAGGAAGGTAGGTTCTCTTCCCTGGATCTTGTGGCCCATGAGCGGTTTGTTTCTGTTCTGAAATTGGGTGTTAAGAAAGACGAAAGGAGGTAAATCAGGAGTATTGGGAAGGTAGTTATCACGAAGGTAAGAATGCCAGCAACATAGGAGGAGCTGCTAGGGAACAATTTACAAGTTCCTCAGCAGTGGGACTGCAGGTGAAAGGGAAAAAAGTTTGTTCTGAGTGTAAAACCATAAACAATAGAATTAGACCAAGTAGTTACTGATAGCGCTTCCCAGGTGGTGCTAATGGTGAAGAACCCACCTGCTAATGGAGGAGGCTTAAGAGATGTGGGTTCAATCCCTGGGTGGGAAGATCCCCTGGAGGACGGCATGACAACCCATGTCAATATTCTTGCCTGGAGAATCCCATGGACAGAGGAGCCTGGGGGGTTACAGTCCATTGGGTCGCAAAGAGTTGGACACTTCTGAAATGACTTTGCATGCATGCAGTTACTGATAAGAACTGGCAAATATTCAGGAAGTTCTGTATAAACATCAATGTATTTTTGTACATAAAGCAATGCCTCTGAGTGGTCACTGCAGCCACTGCTTGTTGTTTCATCGCTAAGTCATGTCCGACTCTTTGTGACCCCATGGACTGTAGCCCACCAGGCCTCTCTCTCCACGGGATTTTCCAGACAAGAATACTGGAGTGGGTTGCCACTTCCTTCTCCAGGGGATCGTACTGACCCAGGGATCGAACCCACATCTCCTGCATTGCATCCTTTACCACTGAACTACCAGGAAAGCCCACCACCACTGCTACACCTACTCTAAAAACCAACTGCAACTCCTTAAAGAGAAGGTCATCTGACTGCTCATTATATTCTATGTTCCTGTCACCTTCCAGTGTCTTCATTCATTCAACTTTAACACCTAAATCACTGTCTTCTTTTCCATCCCACTTTTGTCATAATACTTGGTAACTTCAATAAAAGGGTGTAACCCAAGTTTCCATTGTAGCTTATCATTTACATGAGCATTCTGGCTGATGTTATCTTCTCCCAGACTTCATTTACAATTGATTGACTGATCATTTCTATTTTTATTTCCAGTCCAAACATCTTTTCTGAGCTTCAGACCCATCTATCCAACTGGATAGCTACCTCCAGGGTCCTCTGTCCATGGGATTCTCCAGGCAAGGATACTGGAGTGGGTTGCCATGCCCTTCTCCAGAGCATCTTCCCGGCACAGGGACTGGATCCACAAGTCTGCCTGCATTTGCAGGCAGATTCTTTACCACTTGCACCACCTGAGAAGCCCACCTGGACACTTCATGGACCCTCAAACTCAACTTGTCAAAATCTGAACTCATCTTTCTCACAAATTTGATTCTTCTGCTCTCAAAATCTTGTTATATGAAGTCAATGTCTATCCAATCACCCAAGCAAGAATTTGGGGGTAATCTGAGATTCCTCTGTGTCTCTTAGAAGATACATCCTATCAGTCATCACCTTCCTAAGACGCATGTGCTCTCTGTGAGCCCAGAGCTTCTCTGGTTCCAGAAAGCAAAACTTGTAGTTAAAGAGGGCAAGTCCTGGAGTAAGCATGTGTGCTTAGTCATGTTCAATTCTTTGAGACCCCATGGAGTGTAGTCCACCAGGCTCTGTCCACGGGATTTTCCAGGCAAGAATACTGGAGTGGGTTGCCATTTCCAGGAGTAAGCCTGCCTGGATTCAAATAAAACCTTCCAATGTATATTGTGCAGTCGTGGGCAAGTTGCTTCAGCTTTTTGTTCCTTAGTTTTCTCATATGTAAAGTGGGTAAATAATAATATTTCTTACTTCATAAAGTTAACAGAATCAATTGTCATGATATGGAAAATACCTGGACAATAGGAAAAGCTCAATAACTTTTAGTACTATTGATGACAATAATAATGATGATGCCCGAGTGATGCTAGCAGGGGCATCCCCCTGGCTGCAATAATTGAGGACTTGGAGGATATCAACTGCTTCTTCAGACTTTCAACCAATCTTTCTTCATTCAATCCCACTCTACATCTTTGCCTTTAAAGGAACTCAGTATTTTCAATTCCTAAGAATTTATAGGTTCTGAAAGTCAAATTGGTTTGCTTCTTAGAGTCTTTCTGTAGGCACTTCACTTTTTATTCTCTAAACCTGCACTGTTCAATATGGTAGCCTCTAGGCATATGGCTACTAAGTCATTGAAATGTGAGTGACTAGTGTTACACATGTGGAAATGATAATATTTGGGGTTAAATAAATTAATTTCATCTGTTTATTTTCACTTTTTAAATGTGTGGCTACTAGAAAATTTTAAATTATTGGTTTACTGAAAATTTTGCTCTGGCTTTTAATCCAAACAAAGTGTTTGACCAACCCAATACATAAGTAACTGGCATTTTATTTCTATCAGATAATGTTGCATCTTATAAAAACTTTGACATTTTTATCTGCTGTCATGGTTTTTCCCATCCTCTTTAGTATTTTAGTTGATACACTTTTTTTCATTTTTGTGAGGTGTCTGGAGAAAGCAAAGATAAATGTGTGTGCTCCATCTGCCATGAGTGTGTGCACATGAAGTTGCTTCAGTTGTGTTCAACTCTACGACCCCAGGGACTGTAGGCTCCTCTATCCATGGGATTTTCCAGGCAAGAATACCGTAGTGGGTTGCCATTTCCTATTCGTGAGGATCTTCCTGACCCAGGGACCAAACCTGCATCTTTTATATCTCCTGCATTGGCACGAGCGCCATAGTGGTACTCCTGCACCACTGGGAGCACCTGGGAAGCCCTTCATCTGCCATATTTAACTGGGAATTATATCTAAGCTTCTCATAACCTAGTTCCTGCTTATATTGCCTTATCAATTTATGTCACTGACCCTAAATGAATTACAACCAAAATGAATTACTAATAGTTTCCACAGCATATAAGGAAGCTTCAAGCTTTCATGTCTTTGCTTTCTTTGCAAACTTTTCCTGGACTATCCTTCGAACTCCTCTCACCTGTCTGCCTAGTAACTTCCTCATTCTTTAAACACTCACTCTAATTTCACCTACTTTCAGAAGCTCTTTCCTGATTTCTCCTCCTTTCAGTGAACTGAGTGATCTAGAGTCCAGAATACTTGCTGCATTTTCTTGTTTCTATGATTATCTACCCTATAGGGAACCTATCTTATTCATCAGACTCTGTAGTGCCATTTCTGTGACTGATACAAAGTAAGAACAAAAGAATGTTTATTAAAGAAATTCATAAGGACAGTAACAAGAACTGTGGGACACAGAGGAAGGAGAAGCTGGCTAAAAATGTTTCATGAAGGCAGTACTTTTCAGCTATTCTTCAGAGAAGTTTTTAGCAGTGGAAATGAGTTAGGAATTTTCCAGGCAGTGTGAGCAGGATAAGCAAAGATTCCTGGAAAACAAGAAATATGTTAGGGAAATAGCAAATTATCTAGTTTGAACGGCGCATTGGTAAAACCAGATAAGGGAGGGCCTTGAGGTCACAGAAAGCAGTTGGACCTTTATATGAGAATAAAGGGGAGTTTTTCAAAGATTTGAAGCTATGGAGAGCTTTAAACGCTTTACACCTGAGTTTTAGCATTATCACCTTAGGCTGCAAATGGAGAATGAATGCGCGGGGCCTGAGGGGCTGGAAGCTTAACCAGTTAATTGGTGGGCGGTTGAGGAGGGGAGTGAGCAGTGTAGTGATGGGGATGAAAGGAAGGGCGCGACCACCGGTAGTTTAGGTGTAGAACGCCCCTATGGGCGTGGGTTACAGGGAGGAGTTTCTAGCTGGTACGTACGAGAGGGCGCGGGTACCATTCAGCGCACCTGGGTACCGCGCTGGAAGAGCGAGTCAGCCCCACGCGCCGCGCTCGCGTGTCCCTCGCGCTGCGCCGTCCGCGCAGCGCTCGGTGGGGTCGGCGGAGGCCGCGGGCGCTGCGGTTCCGGTTCCGGCGGGAGCCCGCACCTGCGGCGGGGGCAGGCGGTCATGGCGTACTCCACGGTGCAGAGGGTGGCCCTGGCCTCGGGACTCGTCCTGGCTGTGTCGCTGCTGCTGCCCAAGGCCTTCCTGTCCCGTGGAAAGCGGCAGGAGCCGCCGCCGGCGCCCGAAGGTAAGCGCGGGCCGGCCCCGCCACCCCGAGCCGCCTGGCGAGCACGAGCGCCGAGAGCCCTGCTGGAGGGAGGGCGGCCGCGGGGCGGGGGGTCTCCGGCCCCGCGGAGTTTGGGAGGTGCCAAGCGCCAGGGTCCTCTTGGCCCCAGCGGGCAGCGGCTGGACCAGATCCCTCCGGGCCTTCCCCTGCAGGAGCGCGCGCAGACGAGCCTGGACGCTCTCTCTGGTTGCTCTTACCCCTTCCCCTTGTTGGCCTAACTCAACTAGTCACTATCTGCCCAAGTGCTTTGAGTCAGGAGGGCTCCCACTTGAATTCCCCTTGTTAGGGTGTCCGTGTGCTTTCTCTCGTGCTTTCTAATGAAATAGTTGGACTGGGTATTGTTAACCTTAATTTCTTGTGTATTTTCAGTTTGGTGTCACTGCTTCAGGCTCTTTTTGTGCCTCGTAAATATAATTTGAAGACTTTAACAATTCGAATTTCAGTTACTGAGATGAACATGGTTCTGTGTCCCGTTACCTGAACAAGTATTTGTTAATCCTTTGTTACTGGCATGATGTTTGTGGCGGTTAAAAATCCACCCTGTGGTTTGCATTCTGGGGCGTTTGCATAATGGGTGAGTGTTAACAGGGCAGGAATGCCAAAGACTAGGAGAAGGAACTAGCACAGTTCTCTGTAGATTGTGAAGTTCTGGTAACTTTCTTCTGGAAATTGTGTGTATAACATCTTTGAGACACGGTTTTACAGTTTTCGTGCTTCCACTAGTATTCAACCTGTTGATGTTGGACAGCTCCTTGAACTCAAACTTTATTTCCCTCTGATTTGTGCACATTGACTGTAACTCCACCCTCTTGTACATCATAGATGATAAACACAAGAAATGCAAAACACCAAGGTCTAGGGGTGAAGGGCAGATCCAACCCAGAATTCTGTTCATAGACTTTGCTTGATAGTCTTTATGTTTGTAAAACTATCTCCCTGGGAGAAACTTCTTAAAAAAAGCAAACTACCTCATTTGTTGGGTTTTCTTTTTTTTTCCTTTCTCTTATTACAAAACCCTGAAGGTTTTACTCACTTTGTCTCTTGATAATGAAGAGTAAATTCACGATGACCCTAAGCGGTTAAAGATTCGTTTACAATAGTGTCTTACCATGTTAAATTTTCATCATGCTGAATTGTCTTGAATAAGTTCTCTTCAATGCAGGTGGGAGATACTCTTCTAAATGTTGTATAGAGAGACGATCAGAGATGGCTTTTTCTTCGAAGAACTCAAGTAATAATAGTGTTCTTATCTTAGAAACTCTGCAGTTTTTGTTCTCTTCATTCCTGAAGTGTTAGTTCCTCGGCGTCCTTCTCATTGCTCAGCTTAAATGTAATCTCCTCAGAGACTTCCCCTGATGACTCTAATAAAAGTCACTCTTTACACTCCCATAATTTCCTATTCCACCATGTTTTATTTTCTCGATTGAAGGCGTTATTGTATCAAATGACATTTTCTTATATATTTTACTAGGTTTTTTTTTTTTTTTTTTGTCTCTGCTTTGTAGAGTGTAAGCTATTTCTTTAGCAGTTGGCATATACTGGACCGTCAGTAATTTTAAATGAGTAAAATTCTCTTTTTGCATTCATTACCAAAGTAGTATAATCTAGGTAAAAGTAAGTTAGTGTTAGTTTTTCAGTCGTGTCCAATTCTTTGCGACCCCATGGACTGCAGCCTGCAGATAGCCCCTCTGCCCATGAAATTCTCCAGTCAAAATTACTGGAGTGGGTGACCATTCCCTTCTCCAGGGGATCTTCCCCACCCAGGGATCAAATCCAGGTCTCCTACATTGCAGCAGATTCATTACTGTTTGAGCCACCATAATCTATGTAAAAGACTACCTTAACTGATGTATTCCAGCAACTGAAATTTGCTAACTAAAATCCTTGTCTTGCTATACTGACATTTTAAAAATGGTGATTCTTAACCATCATTGGGTTATCCATTATAACCTCTAACCATTATCCCTCTAAGAATCTAATAAAAATTATGGATTTTTCCCCCAGGAAAAATGCCCATACTTTTTGTACATACATCAAGAATTTTAGTATCAACTCAGAGAAACCACAGAATCCAGAAACCCCTGCTCTGAAGAAAGGGGTAGCCCTGATTATTTGAAAATTCATGTCATCTGTGTCTTAAAATTGTGTCATTATAGCTTCCATCTCTGCCCATTGGCATATATGAAATGAGCATTGTCCCTTTTCCACATGACAGCCATTAAGATAGTCTTTAGCAAATATTAATGATGTACCCTTTAACATAGCTTACACACAGTATATAAATACTGTTTAATTCTTTAAAAAAAAAAAAAAGAGCCAAATCCCTGCCTTGAGGAACTCACAGTTTAGTATAGGAGGAAAAACATTGAGTAAGTGCAAAAAAGTATCAGTTGCTGGTACTCAAATCCTCGCAGGGAAAGGAGGAGACACATGTTAGAATGGTTTGTTTTATTGGTGTCACAAGAAAAGTGTTATAGAAGAGAAGAACCTTTTCTTTTCTTTTTTTTTTGGTAATAGCTTTCTTGAGATATAGTTCACATACCATGCAGTTCATGTGTTTAAACTGTGTGACTGCATCAAAAGATACTCAACCTCACTTACTATTAGAGAAATTCAGATCAAAACTACAATGAGGTATCAACTCACACTCGTCAGAATCAGTTCAGTTCAGTCACTCAGTCGACTGTGTCTGACTCTGCAGCCCCATGGACTGCAGCACTCCAGGATTCTCCATCCATTACCAACTCATGGAGCTTGCTCAAACTCATGTCCATCGAATCGGTGATGCCATCCAACCATCTCATCCTTTGTCGTCCTCTTCTCCTCCTGCCTTCACTCTTTCCCAGCATCAGGGTCTTTTCCAATGAGTCAGTTCTGGTCAGAATGTCCATCATCAAAAAATGTGCAAGCAATAAATGCTGGAGAGGCTGTGGAGAAAAGGGACGCCTCTTGCACTGTTAGTGGAAGTGTAAACTGATACAGTCATTATGGAAAACAGTATAGCGGTTCCTTTAAAAACTAGGAGTAAAACTACCATATGCACTGACCATACCAAGTGCTGATGAGGAATCAAAGCAAGTGAAACTCTCATATTGCTTGTAATGATGTAGAATGGTACAACCATGTTGGAAAACAATTTGGTAAATGCATTTTAATAAAATTAAGCATATGCGTACCACATTAAAAAAAAAAAAAGAAACTACCGTATGACCCAAAATCCCACTACTGGGTGTATACCCTGAGGAAATCATAGTTGAAAAAGACACATGTACCCCAGTGTTTATTGTAGCACTATTTATAATAGCTAGGACATGAAAGCAACCTAGATGTTCATCAACATATGCTTGGGTAAAGAAGCTGTGGTACACATGCACAATGGACTATTACTCAGCCATAAAAGGACACACAGTTGACTCAGCTCTAATGAGGTGGATGAACCTAGAGCCTATTATACAGAGTGAGGTAAGTCAAAAAGAGAATATATATAGAACCTAGAAGATGGTACTGATGAACCTATTTGCAGAGCATCATTGTAGACAGAGGCATAAGGAACAGACTTGTAGACACGATGGGGGAGGAGAGGGTGGGACACGTTGGAGAGAATAGCATGCAAACATATATACACTACCGTATGTAAAATAGATAGCCAGCGGAAGTTTACCTATGACACAGGGAACTCAACCCTGTGCTCTGGGACAACCTAGAGAGGTGGGATGGGTGGGAGGTGGGAGGAAGGTTCAAGAGGAAAGGGACATATGTATACCTATGACTGATTCATGTTGGCAAATGGCAGAAACCAACACAATATTGTAAAACAGTTATGCTCCAATTAAAAATAAATTTTAGAAAAAGCAGTAACCATTTGCAGCAGTATGAATGGACCTGAGAATATTACGTGTAGTGAAAGAAGTCAGAGACAAATACTATGTGATATCACTTATATGTGAAATCTAAAAAATAACACAAATGAATGTGTATGCAAAACAGAAACAGAACCACAGATATAGAAAATAAACATGTGGTTACCAAACAGGAGAGGAAAGGGGGGAGGGGTAAATTAAGGGTATGAGATTAACAGATAAAAACTACTATGTATTAAATATAAAATAGATAAGCAACAAGGACATACTATATAGCACAGGGAATTATAGCCATTATCTTATAAAAAACCTATAATGGAGTATTATCTGCAAAATGTGGAATCATTGTGCTGTACATCTGAAATGAATATAATATTGTAAATCAACTATACATCAATAAAAAAGTAAGCAAAAAAAAAGTGTGTGACTGGTATTTAGCATGGTCACAGAGTTGTGCAATCATCACCACTATCAATTTTAGAACACTTTATCATTCCCGCCCCCCCCAAAACCGTCTTTAGCCATCCTTAACCTCTTTAGCCCCACCCCAAGCCCCTTCAGCCTTCAGTTCAGTTGAGTCATTCAGTTGTGTCTGACTCTTTGTGATCCCATGAACCACACCAGGCTTCCCTGTCCTTCATTCAGAACAATCTCCCTGAGTTTGCTCAAAGCCATATCCATCAAGTCGATGATGCCATCCAACCATCTCATCCTCTCTCGTCCCCTCCTCCTCCTGCCTTCAGTCTTTCCCAGCATCAGGGTCTTTTCTAATGAGTCAGTTCTTTGCATCAGGTGGCCAAAGTATTGGAGCTTCCTAGGTAACCATTAATCTTCTGTCTATAGATTTGCCTGCTATGGGCATTTCATGTAAATGGAATCATACAGTATGTGATCTTCTGTGACTGGTTTCCTTCACATGGCATGTTTTTAAGTTTCATCCATGTTGTAGTGTGTATCAGTGCTTCATTACTTTTCATGGCTGAATAATATTCCATTGTGTGGAATACTCCCATCTACATTTTATTCGTTTATTAGTTGGGCATTTGGGGTTTTGATGATTATGAGTAATGCCGCTGTTAACATCTGTGTACATATTTTTGT